GAAGTGCAGCAATGAATGAATGGAAATCCAAATTCTCTGTAAATGTTCATTAAAATTACTAAAAAAACCCCCCAAACCTTATGGAGCACAGTCCTACTCTGACCAAAAAAAAAAAAAAGACAAATTACATTGGTAAAATCTGCTGTTAGGGATTTCTCTACAGTGCTGAACCACAATGATGTCAGTCTAGAGACTAAGGTGTGCCTGATCCAGGCCATGATCTTCACAGTTGCTTTCTATACGTCAGAGCTGGGGGGGAAAAAAAAAGAATGACAGAAAAGAAAGGAATGCTTTTGAGTTGTGGTTCTGGAGAAGCGTATTGGACATACCATATAGACTGACAAGAGAACAAAGAGATATTTCCTAGAGAGTGAAACCAAGCTGCATTCTGAAGCTCTGTCTCACATACTTTGGGCATGTTGCCAGGAGGGACCAGTCCTCAGAGAGAACATCATGCTTGGAAGGTTGTGGAGGGTCAGTGCTGTTAGTCTGGGCAAAGAGGGCCAAAGAGAAGAACGAAGAATTCAGAACTCATGCTGATGGCTTTGCTTGTTGCTGATAAGAAGAGAAAACGGCCTTGCCTGTCTGGCTGAGCTAGCAGGTGGCTCCTAAATCAGAGTGGAATGTCCCTCCCTAAAGACTCTGTTTATAAAAATTCTAGGGGAGCTCTGGTGGCCTAGTGGCAAGAAGCTGCAACTACAATCCCAGAGGTGCACAGTTCGAATCCACCAGATGCTCTGCCGGGGAAGGAGGGGCAATCTCCTCCTGTACCAGTCAGATCTGATTTGACAGTACACGCACACAAAAATAATAAAAAAAAATTCTCCCCAGTAAGTTCACAGTGTGACTAACTTCCCATTTTGCCTCTCTAGGATGAGGAACTGACCCGGGAGTTCCCCTTTTCGCCCTTTAATAAACCTGCATTGAGCTTTAAAAAAAAAAAAAAAAGCTGTGTTTCCTAGCTTAGGTCTTGAGATCAGGCACTGAGAAAAGTTTGGCAGAACTCACCTGTAATAAATAGCTAACCTCCTACATGTTTCTGTCTCTGATAAAGTCAGGGAAATGTCCATCCCAGAGTCTCTCTGTTCTCCCTTGAGCTTCATTCTTACTGAAGCATTACAGATACTACTCCCACCAGACTGGTAGTGGCAGTCACTTGTCATTGGGGTAAGAGATAAGTGAGAAGTCGTAGACCTGGGGCAGAAGGTGTGAGAAGCTGCTGACTGTTGGGGTGATTGGATGATGCTTGGGCCACATTTCTGGGAAGGTGAGCCCCCTGTTCTCAACTATTATGGCCTGACCGAGTCACCTTCTATCCTTAACTCTGGTCTAGACCCACTCCTGACCATCCCACTTAAAGACTAAGGTGCTCCTGACCCGGTCCATGGTATTTTTCACTTGCCTCCTATGTTTGTAAAAGTTGGACAGTGAATAAGAAAAACCAAAGAAGAATTGATGCCTTTCAGTCCTGGAGTTAGCAAAGAGGACTGGATTGTATATTCAGCAGATTGCCAAAAGAACAGACAAATCTGGTTTGGAGGAAATGCAAGCAAAATACTCCTCAGAGGCAAGGGTGGCGAAGCTTCACTTCACGTACTTTGGTGCCTTGTTAGAGGGACACGTGCTTGGAAAAGACATCATGCTTGTAGAGGATCAGTGAAAGAGAGACAGACTCTTAGCAAGGTGGATTTGACACAGTGACTGCAGCAATGGAGGCGAGCTTGGCGGAGATTGTGAGTATGGCGCAGGACAGGGCGAGGCTTTGATATGCTCAGAGTGTTGCTGTGTGTTGTAGCTGACTTGCCACTGCTAGACTCTAATATCCCCGGTCCAGGGCACTCTGACAAGGAGGGTGTCCCAGCCGACCACTCCACCATGAGCTCTCTGTGTGTGTGTTCTGCAGGGCACTTGGTGGATGTTGATGGGGGCGGGGGGGGGAGAAAGGAAGGAAAGAAGGGAGAGAATGAAGACCTAGTGGATTTCCAGGAAGATGGCAGAAGGTTCCACTATCTTAGTTTTGGGTGTAAAGAGTTTAGTTCTAAATTATCAAAAGTGGGAGAAGTGGTCTGGGTCTTCCTTGTACCTGGTACCCACAGAATCATGCAGTTTACATCACTTAAAGCACTGGTCATGGTGCCCAGTGAAACAGGAAGCCCAAACCTGTCCCTGCCAAGTCACCTCTGACACATGGCATGATACAGATTAGAGCTTCTCCACAGGGCTTCGTTGGCTGTGATCTTTACAGGAGCAGGCCTTTCTTTCATTATTTCAGTGGGTTTGAACTGCCCACCCTTAGACTAGTAGACAGGTGCTTAATAAACATGGGCTTTGCCACTGCTGGCTCCTGCCCCCAGCTAGAGAAAGGCAGAGACAAAGAAAGGCAAGGCCAGCTGCCCACATGCTGTTTCCCTCACAGGAGTTGGAGGACCTGCAGAGCAAGCTTCCTGGGTACCTGCGGGACCTGGACAGCGAAAAGGCCAATGTCCTGATATGGAACGTTCTTCTCTTACCGGTGAGTGTCCATGGAGGCAGGGCCTGGTTAACGTCAGGGGCACAGTCACAGCGGGTCAGGACTGGGAAGGAATTTTCCTAGCCCTAGGATCCTCTTGCTGTAGGCTACCATGGGTAGAAGGTCACCCTCTGTACCGATTGCAAGGTAAATCGTACCAAGAAAAGAAATAAAAAAATTTTTTATTAAAAATTTTAAAAAGATGGGGTAATGGTGGGCATAGATCAATGGTGATTAATTTTATAAAACACAATGTATGGGAATGATTGTATGAAACATGATGTGAATCAAAGAACCTGTGAAGCACAATGTATGTGGATTTTGTATATAAACTAAAATAAAAGAAAATTTAAAACAATAAGTCAAAAGAAAGAAGAAAAGATTTCCAACCCTATCACTCAAAGCTCCTTGGAATGGAAAGGGAATCATTCATCTTATTATGGAGGATTTTAATGTCTTAATGCCAGTCTCTAAGGAACTTGGATGGGACCATCTCTTCTCTTTCAACTGCTCTTTTTTCCCCCAAGAAAAGTAGAAAAGCTTGGAGTTGGGCCAGCGTTTGAACTTCACGTTGTATCTCTGGGGCTGCCAGGTTGAAGGAATTCACTTGACTGACTTGGTATTGGAACCCTGGTTGGATGTCAGCAGAAGAAGATGCTGGAAGGAGCCCCAGGGGCTCATTTGATCTCCAAGGGGGCCAGTCTGAGAGGACAAGGAGTGGAGGAAGGAAGGACCAAGTCTGAAGCAGGCACGTGGTGACAGGAGAAGCTGAAGAGAGTCACTTGTGGGAGAAGAGCGTGAAATCAGACTTCCTGAGAGCTGCTGAGGCTGAGATGGTAACAGAAGAGTTGGGCAGATATGCCCCAGCGACCAGCCAGCCATCTGGCAGCAATCCAAGGGTCCTAAAGAAACACTGTAGGTGGGGAAAACCCCAGCACTGGGGATCAAAGCTTGATGCTGGGTAAAGGAATAGGAAAGACTCAATGCGGACCCAGAAAGCCACGGTTTTAATAGATCAATAGTAATCAATGGTATAAAATACGATGCATATAAATGATTGTACGGAACACAAGGTGGGTGAAAGATTGCACAGAATACAATGTCATGAATGAAACACAATGTGTAAGAGTTAGTGTCTGCAAACCAGAAATGTGGGGGAAGGTTAAGTGCTGTCATGGAGGCCGTTTCACCCCATCGAGGGCTGAGGGATTCACTGAAAGTCAAGGAGTGCAGTCAGCGACAGGCTGATGAATTTGTCTGAGCAAATGCTGCCGATCAACTGACAGTCATAGCTGAGCAAATCCAACATTTGCAAGGACAAGCCAGGAAGGTACTGGAAGATGCTCGCAGAGATGCCGACTTGCACCATGTGGCTTGCGATATTGTAAAAAAAACCTGGCAACATTTACTACCTCTATAAATGAGAGAGTGATCAGGAGTATTTTTTCATCATTTCTCCAAAGGAATGGGGTACAAGTTGTCCACATGACTTCCTTGGAGTCTACAAGTTACAGCATGATTTATCCTGGACTCCATATGAGGACACTGAGAAACAAGATGCCAAAATCAGCATACTGGACAAATTGCTAAGCCAACCCATGGCCCTGGCTCCATGCACTGAACCCAATTTCCAGGGACTGACTCACTGAGAATGGACTCTGCAATACAGCTCTCAACGGCCTCCCCGTTGCCCACCCTCTACCTTGAGAGGAGCTGTCATGAGAGTTGAGGGGCATGAAGGTGAATTATGAACTTCTTGGAAGGACACCCTGTGTAAACACTGTCATTATTTTCCCTTGGGATGGTGATGAATTACACTGCTCTGTTTTAGAATCTTCTCAGGGCCACAGATAATCAACCAGCCAGTTTCAGGGTATAGGCCACGGTACTTACCCTTTCTAAAGCAGTAAAATAAAAGAAGAATTATTGTATGCAAACCAATAAAACAAATAATACAAAACAAAACAAAAAAAATCGGATGCGGATTAGCCAGCCAGGGGAGCCCGCGGGGACCCTGTGTGGCTGTGGAAAGAGCGATCGATGGGTGGCATTTGGGAGAGAGAACCAAGGCAGGCCTGCAGGGTGAGCAGCTCGCTTCCTCCTCAAACGCGTGGTCTCCATCCACACGCTCACCTGGGTGACCCTACTTCTCTGACCTCTGCCGAGGAAAGATACAGCTTAGATGTGTGGCCCTGTGGGAGCTGACAGGGTTCCCATTTCCGGAGACTCCACTATGGGTGGAACCACAGTTGTAAACACAGTACATAGGAGGTCATGGTGAGTTCTCACAACCTACCAGAAGGGAAAGTAATACCAGTTTTTTAGCTCCTACCAGGTGCCATTGAGTCAACTCTGATTCAGAGTGGTCTCATGCACATCAGCATTTTCCCCCATTTTAAATTATGATTTGGGTGAAGGTTTACAGGGAAAAATCCGTTTTCCATTCAGCAAATCACATTCTGTTTTGCGCAGTAGATCGTGTTACCAACCCTATAATACCACTCCTCTCCCTGCTTTCTTGTTTCATTCCTCACTCCCCAGGTCTCTCCTGGCTTCTGACCTGCGTCCTGTGATTGTTCCAAGGAGTACTGACTCCCCAGTGTCACGTCTCACCCTATACAACTGTCCGATGTCTGGCTGGACCCACAGGGTTTTCAAGGGCTGACTTTTTGGAAGTAGTTCACCAGGCCTTTCTTCCTGGGTGCCTCTGAGTGAATTCCAACCTCCGGCCCAGAACTTCAACCTTTGCACCACCCAGCAACTCCTCTTTTTTTATAGTTAAGAAAACAAACATAGGAAGCTAAGTAATTTGACCAAAGTCAGACAGCACGAGGCGTTCAGGATAGAATTCAGCAGCTTCCAGAGTCCATCCTCTGGCATCAACATGCCAGCAAAGATCAATGTCTTGTCAACCTTTTATTAAAAAACAAAACCAGAAACAAACCAAAACCAATTTGCAAAGTGCTTTATTTAAACTCAAAACTTCAAAAGAACTAAAACTTTAAGTAGTCCTTCAGGTGCAGTAGGAAGCCTTCTGTCAAGAGCAACTGTAATTTATAGAAGGGGAAACCTAGCCCAAGAAGGGGAGAGAGGTTGAGGTCAAGTTGGGGTGGACGCATCCCTGGGACTCTGGACTCCATGGTTCTTTTCTTTGTCACTGGGTTGAGACCTAGGAAGCTCCACAAACAGCCCCTGCAAACTTCTCCACACAGACACCCCCTGTCATCCTCTGAGGCCTCCACTCTTGGCTTTATCTGCACGTCAAGGGTCCCGTCCTTTCCTTATTCTGTAGATGCTGAGACATTTCCCTAATCTGCGGCCCTGGTGGCCTCCACTGGATCCTCCCCTAAGAGGAGGGGCTTCTTGCCCTGTCTTCTCAGTAAAGAAGGTTCTAGAAGACTTGGTCCTTTGCTCTAACCTATGTGCTCAATGCTAGGGTCACCCCAGTTCTAGAGGTCCTCTTTTTTCTTTTAAAAATAATATTTAAAGTGAATTTTAATGAAAATTTTCAGAGACTTTGGATTTCCATTCATTCATTGCTGCACTTTTCTCCCTGCCCACTCGTCCGCCCTAATTCACTCTTCTCTTTGAAAAGTAAAAGAAAAATTCTTTAATTTTTATACAGTCCCTCCCCCCAAGTCCATTCTGCTATGCAGCCTTCGTTCTGGACTCCTTTCATGACATTAATACCTAATCATATATCCCTTTTAAACAGTTCTCTCTCTCATCTGTTTCAATGCATTATGCATTATTTATCCCCTTTCTCAGTCTCCCCTCAACTCCAATGTCAGTCCCGTTTTACAACAGTGGTCCTATGCAATATTTGTCCTTTTGTGACTGAGATATTTTACTCAGCATAATGTCCACTTTGCATAATATTTCATGAGTTCCTTGTTTTTCAGTGCTGCATAGTATTCCATTGTGTGACTATACCACAGCTTCTCTATGCATTCGTTTGTTGATGGGCGCTTATGTTGTTTCCAGATATTTGCTATTGTGAACAAAGCGACCATAAACATAGGTGTGCATATATCTCCTTGGGTGGTGGTAATGGTTTCTTTAGGGTATATTCCCGATAGTGAAATTGCTGGGTCAAATGGTTTTTCTTTTTTTTTCTTTAAATGGTTTTTCTATTTGCAACTTTTTTATTTTATTTTATTATTTTGTGTGTGAGTGTACCGTCAAATCAGATCTGACTGGTACAGGAGGAGATTGTCCCTCCTTCCCTGGCAGAGCATCTGGTGGATTTGAACCGTTCACCTCTGGGATTGTAGTTGCAGCTCCTTGCCACTAGGCCACCAGAGCTGCCCTATTTGCAACTTTTTAAGAAAGCGCCATGCCACCTTCCACAGTGGTTGCATCATTTTACACTCCCACCAACAGTGAATAAGGGTTCCAGTTTCTCTGCAACCTCGCCAGCATTTGATGTTTGTTGTTCAGTTCAATTTTGCTGTTCTTACTGGGGCGAGATGATATCAGATGGTTGTTTTGGAGGTGCTCTCTTCTGAGAGTATAAAGCAGTGAACCACTGGCGAGGGCAGCCTTTGGGTTCGTAGCTCTGTCCCCTGTGGACTAGTCCACTGAGCTGTGGAAACACAGAGAGGTTAAGGTGCCTGGGGTTGCACAGCCACTGACGGCAGAGCTGAGGTTTGTTCCCAGGCACTGCATGTGGCTTCTGCGCAGCAGGTGTTAAAGCGAGGGAAGCCCTCAGCACAGGGCAGGTGCTTAGGAAGGTCTTGCAAAGATCTTCTCTTGGCTCTCAGCCCCCCCCCCCAGTCCTCCATCACCCAACCCCTGAGTTCTTATGGTTTCAGCATTTTCTCCATCTCCTCCCCACCCCTGAGACGAGCCTCTCCTGTGCTTGCTAACAGCTCTACAAAAGGGTCCTCTGTCTTCTCCCCTTACAAAGGTCTCACAAAGACACGAAAGCAAGGGTGTCCCCATGAGCCCAGCGAGTCAAACCTTATCCAGATTTCACACAAGGAAACAGGGGTCCAGCAATGGGAGACTGAGGCTGTTTGCCCAGGGTCACACTGCAAACGTTAGGGCAGACTTTCCAACTCCAATGCCAATGCCCTTTTCTTGAGTTAAGTTTCTCTTTATTGTTGTTGAAAAGGTACACAGCAAAGCATACACTAGTTCAACGTTTTTATTATTATAATCCAGTGAGCCGTGGTGATGGTGGTGGTGGTGGTGATGATGATGATGGCGGTGGCGGCGGCAGCAGTGGCGGTGGTTGTTAGGTGCTGTTGATTCGAGCACGACTCATAGCAACCCTATGAACACCAGATCTGAACACTGTCCTATCCTATTACCATCCTGTGATGATCTCTGTCACACTCAAGCCTATTGCAGCAGGCACTAAGTCAATCAATCTGATTGAGGGTCTTCCTCTCTCACATCTCTCCACCTTTCCAACCTGATGCCCCTCTTCAAGGAATAGCCTCTCCTAGCAACATGCCCTACGTATGCGAGGTGGAGCTTTAACATCCTTGCCTCCAAGGAGCATTCTGGCTGCACCATCTCCAGGACAGATCTGTTTGTTCGTTTGGCCATCCATGGGACGTTCAGTGCTCTTCTCCAACACCGCATTAATCCTTCTTCTGTCATTCTTATTCATTATTTTTCTCTTAGATGCATAACAAATGACTGAAAAGACCATGGCCTGAATTGTGATTGTTATGTGTCATTGAGTCAACTACAACTCATAGTGACCCTATACACAGTAGCTCTGAATCCTGCCCTGTCCTGAGCCAGTCTCACTGTCTCTGACACACTTAACCCTTAATACCCTAGTTATTGTGTCAATCCATCTCATCCAAGGTCTTCCCCTCCTGCACTGTCCGTCCACCCTTCCAAGCATGATGTCCTTCTCCAAAGACTGGTCCCTCCTGGCTCTATGCCCAAGGATGTGAGATGATGGAGTCTCAGAATCCTTGCTTCCAAGGAGGAACTTGGTTTCACCCTCTCCAGGACAGACCTGTTAGTTTCCTTGTCAGTCCATGGTATGTTCAATACTCTTCTCCAACACCACAACTCAAAGGCATCAATTCTTCTGTCATCCTTGGTCATTGTCCTGCTCTGTGATGCACAGCAAGTAATTGCAAAGACCATGGCCTGGATCAGGCACACCTTGGTCTCTAGACTGACTTCCTTGCTCTTCAGTACTATAGAGAGGTCCCTGACAGCAGATTTTTCTAGGCAATTAATCTTTTGATTTCTTGACTACTGGTGCCAACAGTATTGATTGTAGAACCAAACAAGCTGAAATTGTTAACAATCTCAGTCTCTTTTCCATCTATCATGATGCTGCCAGTTTTCGCAGTGTGAGAATCTTTGTTTCCTTGATGTTGAGCTTCAGTCCATATTAGGCTTACCTTAGTCCTCAAACTGAAGTTGTCACTCCTTTATAATCTGGAGAGGTGGCCGACTACAGATTTCCTCAGTGCAATACGTCTCCTGATCTCCTGATGGCTGGTACCATGGGTAATGATGGTGGATCTTTGTAAGAGGAAGTCATTAACCATTTCAATCTTTTCTCCATCTATCATGATGTTGCCTATCGGTCCAGTGGCAAGGATTTTTGTTTTCTTGACAAAACTTGTTGAGATGTAATCCATATTGAAGCTGTAGTCTTTGATCTGCCACAAGTGAAAGTTCTTCCTCACTTTCAGCAAAGTTGTGTCATCTGCATAATGAAAGTTATTGATGAGTCTTCCTCCAATTCTGATGCCATGTTCTTCTTCAGAGAGTCCAGCTACTTGAATAATTTGTTCAGCATAGAGATCGAATAGGTATGGAGAAAGGGTACAAACCTGATGCACACCTCTCTTAATTTTAATCCATGTAATGCTCCCGTGCTCTGTTCATACAATAACGTCTTGGTCTAGGTATAGGTTTCGCATGAGTACAATTAAGTTCTCTGGGATTCCCATTCTTCTCATTGTTAATCAAAATTTGTATGATCCACACATTTAAATGCCTTTACATGGTCAATAAAGCACAAATAGACATTCCTCTGGTGTTCTTTGTTTTCAGCCAGGATCCATCTGACATCAACAATGACATCCCTGGTGCCATGGCCTCTTCCACATCCTGCTTGAACTTCTGGCAGGTCTCTTTTAGTGGAGTTTCCAGATTAATACACACTAAGAAGCAGGATTGGCCATCCACTTCTGAAATAGCAGGCTTCTGACAGCCCTATGCACAGTAGAGGGACATGGAGAGACCAGACTGGAAGTTAATAAAGATGAAGAGAAACACCTGCAAACATTCTTTAATAGTTGAAACATAGAATGTACAGAGTATGAACATTGGAAAACTAGAAGTTATTGTTGTTGATTGCCTTCAAGTCGAGCATGACTCATAGCGACCTTATGAACATAAACCTGAAGCCCCTCTACAACTATCGACACTTATCAAATGTCATAGTTTCCAGAGGCATGTTGTTTAGGAAGTGGATGCCACTCCTGCTTCAAACCTGTCATAATATGTTATTGTTTCAATGTGCCATTGAGTCGCCTGTGATGTATAACAACCCTATGTACAGCAGGTCTGAACCATTCCCTGTCCTGAGCCAGTCTCACTAATTCCAACGTACCAGCCCCCATTGCCCCAGTCACTGTATCAATCCATCTCCTCCTGAGTCTGCTTCTCTTGTGCTGTCTCTTCACCCTTCCGAGCATGATGTCCTTTCGATTTGTGTGAACATCAACATTCTAGGCATTGATGAGATGAGATGGACTGGTTTTGGCCACTTTGAATCAGACAGTTACATGGTATACTATACCAGGAATGAAAAACAGATTAAAAAAAAAAGATGAAAAAGAAGAGGAAGAAGAAGAAGAAGAAAAATTGCTTTGCGGTCATAGTTAAAAAGACAATTTCGACTTCTGTCCTGAAGTATGATGTTGTGAGCCATGGTGTTAGTAGTCTAGAGAGAAAAGATGTGTTTCCTTGGGAACATCTGCTATCAAGGAAATCTCGAAAGTGCTAAGAGCAAGGATGACTGTTTAAAGACTCAGGATCTAAGTCATGATCATTTCACATGCTTCCTATGTGTCTGAAAGTTGTACAAGAAATAAGGGTGACAGAAGAAGAATCAGTGCCCTCAAAGTGTGCTGTTGGAGAGGAGTACTGAATGTCTCATGGACTGCCAAGAGAACAAACAAGTCAGCGTTGGAGGAAATGCAACCAGGGTGCTCAATGAAACTTTGTCTCACATACGCTGAGCATGTTGTCAGGAGGGGACAATCTGTGGAAAAAGACATCATTCTGGGAAAGGTGGAAGGTTGGAGAGAGAGAGAGAGAGAACTTCAACAGGAAGGCTTGACAACAGTGACTGTACCAGTGGGCTGGGGCATGTGGGTGATCTTAAAGATGGCACAGGGTAGGGCCAGGTTCCGATCTATAGTTCATAGAGTAGCTGTGAGTTAGGATTGATCTGACAGCACATAACAACAACAACAACAACAACAACAACAACAACAACAATTTAAAGGCATTAGTTACATTCTTTACGTTCTGCAACTATACTCACCCTCCTTTTCTAAATTATTTCTCCCACTTTAACAACTGCACTGCCCCTGAAGTTTCCTCTTTGACCTTTCCAATTAAATTCCCATCTAGAACTTTCTGTAAGAGTTCAGTGCTCAAGGCAGATGTTCTTTACTAGTTACTCTTAACCTGTGGATGATTTAAAGAAACTGTTAAAGAATATTTTTGGTCTAAAGTTGAAAAATTACCTCGGGGAAGTTGTGCTTGGGGTTCATTTGGCTTCTGTGGCTCCAGAAAGTTTCAATTACATGAGAATTTGAAAATCTGTTCTGCATTGTCTGCTCTTTTAATCAAGATCCTTCGCTCAGGTTCTTTGATCTGAATGTTTCCTAATGGTGGCTGGGCACCACTCCGTTCTAGTGTCTTGGCAAAGGAAGCAGTTGTTCTTGGAGACAGTCCGCTGTGCCTTCCATAGCCTCCTCTTTGTCCAGACTCCTCCTCTCCTCTGTTGCTCCAGGCAAATAGAGACAGTCCAGTAGTTTTTTGATTCCACTCTGTCCTAGTCATCTGTTGTTCTTGTTAAGTGCCCTCGAGTCAGAATTGACTCATTGCTGACACTCTTGTGGATATTCAAGGCAGTAAATCCTAGGGAGGAAATTGCCCATCATTGTCCCCTGGAGCTATAGGTTGTCAGTACAGCACCTTACCACGAGGCTACCAGAACTCCCATACTTTATTTCAGTCTCTAGTTCTGTTATAACAGAGACTATCACTTGTGAACGGCTTAAACAAACAGAAATGGATTTTCTTTAAGTGGCCAGCAGTCCAAATTCAGGAGAGGTCATTCTTTCCTTGTTGGTCCTGGAGGAAGTCCCTTATTTCCTTCGTTTGTATTCCTTGGAGATCTCCCTACGTCCTGGCTGTCCCCTGTGTAAGGAGCTCCCCAGCTCAGGGACCAGAGTCCAGAGTAGTCCCACCCCTGATCTTTCTTAGCTTTGCTTACATTCCTTCTCCTCTTTTCTCTTAGGAGATAAAAGGTGTTGTAGGCCACATCGCAGGGCTACTCCTTTTAAGAGGTTTGCACCCTATATAACTGTTTGGTTCATCAGATCATCATGGAGGTCGTTGCAGCCACATTCCGTTATTACATACACATATTTTGGAACACACCCCGGGCATACTCCTTTGAAGAGGTTTGCACCCCACCCTACGACTGTTTGGTTTATCATATCATCATCCTGGGGATCATTGCACCCAAATCCTGTTACTACATATACGTATTTTGGGGACACACAGTTCAATCCATGGCACACTCTGCCCTTCAGCCCTGGCTCTGTTGGGCGAATTCAGATGCCATCTGTTCCTGTGCTCGACGGCTTCCCAGGAGTGTAGCAGAGGATGCCTCGGAGCCTGGGATGGGGTGGGAGCAGGGAAAGCCGAGAGGCCATCATGGAACGTGAGCCTTTCTCTCTCGTCACAGGACAAATCACCCTACAACCTCAAGGCCTTCCGAGTGGGCATCACCTTCCCTGAGGAGTATCCGTTCAAGCCTCCCAGGGTGAAGTTCACCACCCAGATCTACCACCCCAGCGTGGACCAGGAAGGACAGGTGTGCCTTCCCATCACCAGCAGCCAGCACTGGAAGCCGAGTAACAAGGCCTACCAAGGTGGGAGCGGAGGACCAACGCCTGGGAGGGGCACCAGGCTCATTTGGGTGGTTGTGGGTATTGTCAATCTATCAGGGAATTGTGCTGCCAAGCCAAAGGCAGGGCCCCTGTGACAGTTCACATCCACCGCTGGTGGCTCCAAGGGAGAGGGTTGGGCAGTCTCCCCACCATGCAATTTACAGCCTATGAAAACCCAGCGGAGGGTCAGCTATGAGTCAGTTCTGACTTGATGGCAGTGGGAGCAGACTTGTTTTCAGGTACCATTGGATTGACTGGGACCCGTGATGACCCTCTGTGACAAAGCAGAACTGTACCTCACGTTTCCCTCTTGGCATAGTGCATAATGCATCAGGCTGCTAATCCAAATGCTGGCAGTTTGAATCCCCCGGCAGCTCTGAGAGAGAGGGAGCGGGGTCATTTCTTCCTGGAAAGGCTTATAGGCCGGGAAACCTGGTGGAAAGTTACTAGGAATCAGAACTGACTAGACTGCAGGGAATTTTACATTTTTCTGGCAGCATATCTCCAAGTCTTTTCGTCCAAAAAGCTGCTGGGTGGGTTCGTAGGTTCATGTATGCAAGTCCCCAGGGAGATGGGCCCCTGCCTTCACCAGCTTTCCAGAATCACCTATGAGAAATGAAAAACCTCCGGGGCAGTCATCATTTGCAAGCTTTAACCACAGAATACTTTTGCCCAAATGAGAAATTATATGGGATCTTAAGGAAACTAAAGCCCCATCAGAACAGCCTCTCTGAAGCATTAGCTTGAAAACTACAGGCAGGCTTCAGGCAGCACCGGGAAGGAGCAGGTGGGCATTTGCTTGATTGCAGTCATCCTACAGGGCCTCTGATGGCCTAGTGGATAAGGAAGTGTACTTCTAACCCAAAGGCAAGTAAGTGGTTCACATCCACCAGCTACTACAAGCTTGAAAGATGGGCAGTCTTCTCCTGTGTGATTTATGGCCTCGGAAAACTCACTGAAAGGTTAATTAAGACTGAGAAAAACTGGATGAAATATGTTTACGGCATTGAAGTCTATGGGGGAGAGAATAGTTTAAAAGTATTATATTTTAGGGCATTATGTTTATCGTAGGAGTACGCAATGAGGGTTGCAGAGTGGATTATATTTGGGGTTGGGGGTGGGATTGGGGGAGGTGTGTGGGGGGATTG